AATTCATCTTGTCACAACCAACCAACAATGCAAAAGCGAATCAAATATATTTTATTGTTCACACTCAAAGAGTCATGTATTATCATCAATATAAAATGTAAAACATCACTGTATAAATAAGTCTAAACAGGTATAGAATCAAAACATTTGTGAACAAAACATCTTTACAGTTAATCAAGTGTCATTTATAAATGTCGGAAGACATCTCAACGGTTTACCAATCAAATGAAAGCTTACAGTTAGGATAAAAATATAAATACCAATGGTTTATTGTGCTTTTTATATAACTAACAGGACGCACGTTTCGTCCTATTTCAAACTCATCACCTGGGTGAACCTGCACTCCAGCGTTGATATGCAGACTGAAACTCGAGTCCACTGCCAATCGTTTCAGAAACCCAGAGCGTTATCTGCTAAGCTACTATTGTAGTGAACAAAAACTTAGTGAGGTTAATCAATTCATTATTAAATGCAAAATTGGAGTGCTTTCGTAAAATATGGAAACCACACATTAAATAGATTGTCTGTACATCTTACTTCAACTATCTTTTACATGCTTCATGATCCTTTCAATTATGTATCTATTACAATTGCTCTCTGCTTCCATTCCTCTTCTCTTCAATACAATCCTCTGCTGATAGTCATTCTACTTCTAGTTGGTGTAACATACTACTAATATCTGTCAATATAAGTAGCATACACAACACTAAGTCCATATATTAGCTTGTTCGATGAATGTAAAGATGGTAATAATGGTTTATAATCCAATATTGTTTATATTGGGGACTACAATTAATCAGTCTTTTATTGAGAACAAGAACCGACTTAAGTTATACAGCCATTAAAAACCTAGTAGTATCAAACGTCTGTTTTGTTTTAGTTTAGGACTCCTCTAATGAGAATTTATTCAATACTTCTGCACAATCTCTGTTGGCGAATGTGCATTTTGAACGACATTAACAGACCTTCAATTGCATATGACAATAGATGTGCTGGAAGAACTGTCAAAATAAAATCTAAACAAATTGAAATACTATCCATTTATTTAATAATGACTAAAAATGTACTTCTGTATTTACAAGGTCAATGTCAAAATATATAATCGTACAAAAAAATAATGTAAAAAAAATACATTTTTAACAAGGTCATCAAAAAACATTATTGGAATTTCACTATTGATTAACTAATGGAATAGTGGTTCAGTGGCTTTTTACTTTCAACTGTGAGATCATAATGTCGAACATCGTAATAATGATTGAAACAATCCGTTGGTATCACCATATATTTCACGTGGATAATATTCTTCATTGCCAAGTATATAAAATTCGCTTGAGAAATAAGTTACATTCAAATAGTGAGACCAATGATCTTGTTACTAGTGTCGTTTGCAATAGCAATTTTGATAGATGCATTAAGTCACTGCTAAGATCATTTCATCTCTCTACTGATATTGGTCTGATTAATGATTTAGAGCAGGGATACTGAAGGGGTCAACAAATATTTATTTAAAACATTTTGTTCTGTATGGAACTAAATTAAACGTTTTTGAAATAAGTAGTATACAGACGACTTTACTGAGAATTCTAGTTTGAAGGTTTGATAGTTTTCCTGTGACAGTCATAAAATCACAAATAAGTCAGTATCCATCTCATCAAATATATTCCTTACTACAATCGATTACGCAAATAAGTAAACTCATTTTACAGTAATTTACCTCTAACTGTTTGGTTATTTTTATTGAGTTCATGAACCGATCTAAGGTAAACCACCATTGAAACCTGGGAGCACTGGAGAGCTGTTTCGTTGAAGTATGAGACTTCTCCGAAGTGCTCATCCACGACCCTGCCGCTGAGAAATGAGTGCAAGACCTTCGGTTTCGCATCAAGGAGTTTCATAGTAGAAGGAAAAGTGTGTCCAATCGTTGAAGCTTCTCAGTGGTTGTCTGACTTAGACCGGTTGGTGATCGAAGTAAAAACTAATCTGTATAACCCCCATATCACTCAATGGTTGTTAATTAATGACTAATTTCAATTCGTCTAGTTTACAAGTGATTCAGCATTTGAAACTATTATATTCGATGTTCGGACATTCAAAATAAACCATAAGAAACTTCGGACTTTGTGATGCTGACCCTTTGGTGGAGCTTGCATTCAACCTCTGGGGAGACCCATCGTCCTCATTCACTAGAACCCTTAAGATTTGACGGCATAGTTTGATAGTTTTATTTTCAGTAAATATCCGTCAGTCAACTTGTCTCTTATGTAACAAAAACGACCAACTACCGTACTTTTTGAATTATAATTAACTTTCAAGACATTAGGGTAAACCTGAATAGTTCACTAATTAGGCATTTAACAGCTGTGTATTAAGTTTATATTAATGATTAAGAATACTAGACGATGAAAGTAGTAACAACAGTGATTGTGAGAAAGATTAGTTACTGTCATTATGATTTTGTTGAGGATGGTGAATCTCCAGAAAAAACTTGGTAAACGTCTTATTTTTGTAATTTTATTTCGGAAATTTAAATTTCTCGTCTTCGCATCAAAAGCGCCCATTTTTACCTTCATATTATATTTCCCACTCGGAAGGACCCTGAATCTCATTGGTTCAGTACCTCTTTAAGTACGCTATTTTTTGTTGCTTCCAAAAGATCTTTTTACGCTGTATATATATGCTTGAGTTGTATGGTTGTTTCTCTCGTGCTTCTGGGATATACTTTTTACTCTGCTGAACCTGGTCTTTTCCCTTTAGTTAGCAGGGCTGAAGCTCAGTGCAATAGTTTAGCTTGTCTTGTCTTTGTGTCGCTGATCCTTTTTTTCGTTTCTTATTTAAGTGATCTCGTAATATTTTCAAACATAGATTTGGTAGTAAGTCATGAATTTATGGTATAAAAGATATAAGGTAATTTTAAAATAAATCCAATGGAAGACAGGGATCAAATTCATGTTCACTATTATGGTAGATTCTAAACCATGTCACTAAGCGGTTCCAACAAATTGATTAAGATAATTGCGTATACCCCAATCAAGTAGTGTGCATCTACCTACAAGACTCACTCCAACAGTCAATGACTTCATGAACTGATGTCATATTTAGTTTGGTCTTCCATAACTTTCTTTCAAACTACTATATCAATAAACATTGAGTGTCAAAGTAGATGGTTGCTGGTCATATGGAATTTATGTACCAATCACCTCAGTTGATGAATATTCAATACTTTATCAACTGATTTACAATCTTCTTCTAGTACCCTATGTTTAAACTTCACATCACTCACTTGGTCAGTCTAAAACACACGGACTTTGCTCCGGAAAAACTTGCGGTGAAATATTTTTGGGTGTTCCCTTTTTCAAAAGGCTATGGTTTACACCTACAATGTAGAATAGAACAAAACACTGCACAACATATCCTATCTCACAAATATTCACATCAAAATTGATCTATTAATGGCAAGAACATTATGTATTTACTGTTATAAATAGGTTAATTCATCTAATAATAGTGTCAAATGAATTGGTTACATTGATTGATTATGAAAGTAAAGATTTCTATAATAAAAGACAACAATTACAATTTTAATGAATATTAGTCAATTATAGATTTGATTATATGTTTGACATTATCCACACCATCAATATCACAAATAGTTGAAATCATGAGTCAATTGAAGCTAGACCACCATAGAATACCTGGAAGCAGTGGATGGCCGTTTTATCATAGTATGGTACTCCTTAGCAGTGCGCATCCATGACTCCGCGTCGAGGTACGAACGCTGGACCTATCCGTCTCGCGCGCGAGTGCTTAACCAATAAACCACTGAACCAGCATCCAACGGTGTTAACATCACAGATGTCTCATTTGTAAATCAACGAAGACTATCACTATACTGGAAAGATAATTCATTACATCCAGACAATTTGGATCCACTGAAAGTGAATGAGTGGGTTTCTTATCGAGTCTTTCGACTCGATAATTAATTATTAATCTATGATCATGATGATGGCTAACAGTAGAATCCAGTACATGTGTTTCATCCTATTTGAGACTTGTCAACTGAATATACATGAATCCCTGAGTTGATATTCACTCCGCGACTCGAACCTAGTACCGTTCGCTATTGAATCCTGATAGTCCCATACCTGTGAAATGGTGTGAAGTTGAAATTCACTTGGTATTGTTTACTTGAATCTTCCCATTAATTTTTAAGACTGAAATTGATAACGCGATGGCATTTGAAGTGATTGGTACTGAGTTTCAGGCCCAGAGTGAAAATCAGCTCTGCAATACAGGTACATCCAACTGACGAGTCCTCAATAAAGCTAAACACGTGTCCTAAATTCCACTGCTAACCACTATCTATCTCTTACTAGATACTCAGTTTTTAAGAATAAATAACACGTATGTTATTGTAATTACATTTTGATAGAAAATTTTTACATCTAAAGAATGTAAACGCGAAACTGATAGGTCCTGGATTCGAATCTCGCAAGGCCGGATCACGGTTGCACACTACTGATGAGTCCCACAATAGGACGAAACGATCATCTAATGCTTCCAGGTTTCCCATTATAGTCTAGCTTCAATTAATTCATGATCTCGATTATTAAAAGAAATTACTATAATATCCACAAAAATCCCTTCTGAATGTAAATAAGATTAATCACCAATTCACCTCTTAGAAAATCTTTATCAGTTATTTCTTTTCTATCTCTCTCTCTCTCTACATGCTATTATTACTTTTCAATCAATGAAATAGATCCTTAATTCTGATTGGTCACTTGAAAGTATTAACCTAAATTCATTTGCAGTAATAATATAGTGTGACCTTTAAACACTTCATTAATAATCAACAACATCACCAACAATAACGACAACAAAATGTAGTGAAAGGATATTCACATAAAACCATTCATATTTCGGAAATTACTCAATTTATCTCTTTATTATCATTATTATCATTATTGTTGTAGTAATAGTAGTAAATTACCTTAACAGTAATGATCAAGAAGGATAAGCCAGAAAATTCTAATGAAAATTCATTAAATGATGATGATCAGAGGATATATAGAAATTATTCCTATAAAACTATCAATTGTCTAGTGGATCGACATCATGGATGGTATACCGGTAAGTTGTCTAGTAAAATGGATGTTTATTTGTTTTTGTTTTTTTTAAAAAGAACGATTAAGTATTATTCAGTAAAAAGTTTCAATGAATTTAATTTAGTTGTCATTTCATTGTATATACCAGCCGTTGCTACTATTGATTGAATGATTTAGTGAGGTCATTGGATTGGTGTTGTAACAACGTTACAAAAATATCGAATGAAGCATTCACCTGACTTTGTGCTGGAGTTTATGTACTCTGGTTTAGTGGTATTTAACATAGGCTTCAATGGTTGAATGTCATTTCATTGTAAGAATTAATGAATTTCAATGGTTAAGATCATGAGTCAGTTAAAGCTAGACCACCATGGAAAACCTGGGAGCACTGGACGGCCGTTTCGTCCTATCGTGGGACTCCTCAGCAGCGCGCACCCACGACCTCGCCCCCCTGCGAGATTCGAACCCAGGACCTACCGGTTTCGCGCCTGAGCACTTAACCACTAGACCACTGAGCTGGCATCCAACGGTGTTAATGTTTAACTTCAACTAATCCACGAAATTGAGCGACACATTCATCATTGTCTTCAGTGAGTTACTACCTCACAACAGACCTGGTTGAACTCCACTGGTCACTACTTCTTACTAGAACTCCAGGATATACCTCGTGCTTCCAGGTTTTCCATGGTGGTCTAGCTTCAACTGACTCATGATCTTAACCATTGAAATTACTACAATCTCCACAAAAACCCATCTGATATTAATTAATGAATTGTTTGATTCTTGTATCGATTGGGTTGCATAAAATTTGATGAAATAATAGTTTAGTGATTAAAAAGTATTTAAATTCCAATTATTGATATGAAGGTTTGAACACAAACTCATCTATTGTGGTTTATAAAACTAAGTAATGAACATTTAGCTGACATATTAACAGATGGAGTTCAGAGTTGATAATTCTATCCTTTAAATTAAGAAAAATCGTATGAGAAACTGTGACCAGTGGAGCTAATCTGTGTCAGGTGGGAAGCAGTTACCCACCAAAGACAATGGTGTACAGTCATGCACTATCATGGATTGGTTGAAGTTAGACAGTAATACCGCTGGATGAAGACTCAGCGGTCTAAAGGTTAACCGTTCACTCACGATACCAAAGGTTCTGGATTCAAATTCAGCTTGCGAGATCGTGGATGCACACTGTTGAGGAGTCCTATATAAGGACAAAACTGCCGTCCACTGCTTCCAGGTTTTCAGTGTTGGTCTAACAGTGATCAATTCATGATCCCAATCAAAATATAATGTTAGTCAAGGTGATGAGTGAGCAGAAATGTTGATTTCTAACAGACATTACAAGATATTCATCATCATTCTAATATAATATTCTATTCATTAAATCATTTTATATTTCTAAGATATATATGTATGATGTAGGTAGTGTATTTTAATAAATAAATACTTTGCTCAGTATTTTATAAATAATTACTTCGATATCATGAATGGATCAATGTTAAACTACCACTGAAAACTTGGAAGCACTGGACAGACGTTTCATCCTAATATGGGACTCTTCAATAGTGCGAATCCACGATCGTGCACCAGAGGGACTCGAACTGAATACCTTCGGTCTCACGAGTGAACACTTAACCTATAGACCAGTGGGTGTAACGAAATGGCCGTCCATTGCTTTCAGGTTTTCATTGATGGTCTAACATTGGTCCATTCATGACATCAATCAAAACTCAACAATCTCCACAATCCTATACTGATAAATAAATACGTCTGGAAATGATGAAGGAAATGGTTATCTTATAAACTATTAAAAATATATTCTCTGACTTTTTAATAGCATTTTTTATACACAATCAATGGGTCAGAGAAATTCCCATCCTGTTAAAAATACTCAAATTCTATAACAAATGATCAATCATATGTACTTAGCTTAGTCTGAGTAATCATTCACGTGATTACATAATCAGAAGTACCAGACCCATAACATTATTATTTTCGGTACAAGTTTGAGTAATCTAATTGTTTACAATTTATTGATTATTGAGGAGTGAATAGTGTAATGTTTGCCTATTCCTTAATGCTAATCGGATTCTGTGGAACAAGTTTCAAAATGAACGTTAGCTTAAATGACTAGAAACTACAAATACTAAACTGAGATGTTAGATGGTTAAAAGTAGTTTACAATAAAATTTTAATTTAAGTTTCGTTTTAGTTGTTACACATCTTACTTACTTATTTACTTACTTACGCCTGTTACTCCTAATGGAGCATAAGTCGCCGACCAGCATTCTCCAACACACTCTGTTCTGGGCCTTCTTTTCTACTTCCATCCAATTCTTGTTCATTTTTCTCATGTCCGTCTCCATTTCTCGCAGTAATGTATTCTTTGGTCTTCCGCTTTTCCTTTCCCCTTCAGGATTTCATGTGAGGTCTTGTCTTGTGATGAAGTTGGGTGCTTTCTTCAATCTATGTCCTATCCACTACCACCACTTCTTCTTTGTAATTTCTTCCTCCACTGGGTTCTGGTTTGTTCTCTCCCACAGTAGGTTGTTTCTGATAATGTCCAACCAACGAATCCGAAGTATTTTGCGTGGACAACTATTAATAAACACTTGTATCATCTGGATGATGGCTTTCATAGTTCTCCAGGTTTTCCCCATATACAATAGAACTGTCTTGACATTTGTATTGAAAATCCTGACCTTGGTGTTGATTGACAGTTGTTTTGAGTTCCAGATGTTCTTTTGTTGTAAATATACTGCTCTCGCTTTACCGATCCGCGCTTTCACATCTACATCAGATCCAGCATGTTCATCAATGATGCTGCCCAAATATGTAAAGGTTTTTACATCTTCCAAATCTTCTCCGTCAATTGTGATTGGATTCGTGCATGTTGTGTTGTATCGGAGAATCTTGCTTTTCGCTTTGTGTATATTGAGACCTACTGCTGCTGAGGCTGCTGCTACACTGATCGTTTTCTCCTGAATTTGTTGTTCCGATCGCGATAGGTGGGCCAGATCATCTGCGAAGTCTAGATCGTCTAGCTGCATCCTAGATGTCCACTGTATCCCGTGTTTCCCTTCAGATGTTGATGTCTTCATGATCTAGTCGATCACCAGAAGAAAGAGAAAGGGTAGTTGTTACTCATCATCAAGAGTTATTTGTAATCTTGAGGGTATTATTGTTTTCTCTATGATTCTAACTCACTTCACTACTCAGCTTCATTGTATGAAACATCACCACTGAGTGATTTAGGCAGTAACTGATATCCTGTTGTTATGAAATGATTGTTATTTTCACTTGGTTGAAAATATTACAAGTAAAAAAAAGAACTTGTGATTAAATCTACTATGGTAAGAAATACAATCAGAAAAACAATTGTGACATATTATACACCAGCAAAACAACCATAAAACTTCATTCACTTAAGGATAACTACTGAAAATTAGAATTTACCCGGTTTCTGCCACTCTCTTATAAAACTATATGCTATGGTGTAGTTGACTTTATGGAATGATGCCATCTCTTAATTATCTACCAGCCTTTATTTCGTTTTCTAATTTGGCTATTGTCACTCAGCTCTGTAAATAGAGAGTAAGTCATCATTCAGTGTGAGAATAGAATACTAACTGAATTGTTATAGACTATTACCTAATGATTAAAATAGTTGCAGAAACATAGTAGTGTATTATAGTAGAAGGTTCACATGATTTAAATAGGTAGTTATCTCATATTCAGTTCACAAAATACATCAATAATATTATTTAAAAACATTGATACTAATTCAATAATATCTATGTTGTAACCTGATATTAGAACAGAACTTTTTCTCTCAATGATATCTTTATGTGGATTCACTAGTGTATATACAAATCAGAGCTGGTCACCAATATGGATGGATTAAAAAGATCACTAGGGTCTCTTACTCTCATTTGATTTACTGTATTAGTTCAAAATATGGTTGAATCATGTCACTTTGATGAGTTTGTGAATTGGTAATAATAATGAAAGTCCTTCAGTCTGATCTTTGTTTATATAAAATGTAAATGTAAATTGAAATCTATTTTTGAAGTGTATATTACCAAACTTTGGTTAGCTTATTACCGTATTTCACTAGTTGAGATCATAAGTCAATTGGGGGTAGACCACCATGGAAAACCTGGAAGCACTGGACGGCCGTTTTATCCTAGTATGGGACTCCTTAGCAGTGCGCGTCCATGATACCGCCCACCTCCCCGAGATTCGAACCAGGTCTCGCGCGCGAGCGCTTAACCATTAGACCACTGGACCGGCATCCGATGGTGTTAACATCACAAATGTCTCATTTATGAGTTCTCACCATAAACTGATATAAATTTGTAAATCAACGAAGACTATCACTATACTGGAAAGATGATTCATTACATCCAGACTGTTTGGATCCACTGACAGTGAATGAGTGGGTTTCTTATCGAGTCGAAAGACTCGAGAATCAATCAATAGTCTATGATCAGGGTTCTACAAAAATTCAGTTGAGATTCGAAGAGGTTAATGGTAACTTTTCTGGTTGGTCTTCAATGGTGCCTTAAGTTTAAAGATACTACTTGTAGACAAATACTAGCTGCTATGAAACCCATGTTGAATAGAGCTTTCTATCAAACTCAACTAATCATCTAGCATAGCTCTTTCATTGTATTGATTCCAGACGATCCAACAATTTATTTTAATACACAATCAATTTTGGTTATTCATTTAAAATAACAACTCGTCTCGATATTTACTTGGTATTGTTTATTCGAATCTTCCCATTGATGTTTAGAACTGTAATTGATCAGTCTCTTATTAGCATATCTACATACTGTGCGGATTGCCTCGATATTGCCTTAATTCATAAGCATTATAAGTAAAGATGGATAGTAGCTAGTAGTGGAATCCAGTACATATGTTTCATCCTATTTGAGACTTGTCAACTGAATATACATGAATCCCTGAGTTGATATTCACTCCATGACTCGAACCCATTACCGTTCGCTATTG